TTTTCTGCTTTAGATTTACAACAAGCCTGTTGGTTTTCCTCCACTTTACAAGTGAGGAGCCTGAGGCTTGGAGAAGGTTATGAAATAAATAAAAGAATCAGTTTTGGGGTTCATCCATTAGATGCAGAAGTCTGACCTTAGTGTCACCCACAGCCAAAGTGGTTATTATTTACTATGGCTGCCAGTGGCCTTTACATCCTGTTAGGTTTAAAGAGAGTCTGAGATATGTGCCCAGAAAGTGGCTGAGTAGTTATTAAATCTAAGTGTCGTTTTCTGGGTTAGGCCCTGTTGAGGTGGCAAAAAAATTGAAGGCAAACCTTTGTTCTTCATAATGAGGTAGAATCTATGTATGAGAGCAACAAATAAGGTGTGGAATTAGCTTTAATAGTGATGTCAGCAAAAGGCAAGGTAGCGCCTTTTCAGGCCTTATTGCCAGAGGCCTCTCCATATTTTCAAAAACTCCTGGGAACTTTAACAAGAGGTGGATTTTCTAAGGGAAGGTCAGCGCGTGTGAGAAAAGGACACTGGCTTTGGTCTCTTCTTGGCATTCCTTCTGCTGTTCGTGGCTTCTGTCCAGTCCGGCTTTGCCTCAGTGGAATGATCTGGGATCTTCACAGATTAGCATCCCGTACAGAGGGTTAGCCAGGAGCTGTTGGCTCTGATGAGGAGGCTTCTTTGGTTCCCCTTTGCTCTGATTTCCCGTCACCTCTTCCTGACTCTAGGCGTCCATCTGTAACCATTACCAGTACCACTGTCACTTAGGAAATGTCAGTTGGACGGGTAGAAGGAATGTGTTTGGGACTGTTTGCTGGGCTATAATAGGAAACACATTTTTGATAAAACATCCAAAGGAAAGTTATAAAATTTTATGTACGGACACAGGATCATTCAGTACAATGCCATACACCGCCCAGTCACTGTAGCCACAACACTTGGGGCTCTTTCCAGGCTCATGTGGATGGGAAGATTTTCAGCCCCAAGTCAAACACTTCTCTATTTAGGCTTTCAAGTTGAACTAGCAAAATGCACTGCCTGGCAGATCAGTTTCAAATTCTACATTCTTCTTAAAACTATTATTGTTGTTGTTGAGTGTGTGCACATGTGCACCACACATACTTGTGGAGGTCAGAGAATAATTCCGTGGAATAGATTCTCTCCTCCCACCTTTATATAGATTCTGAGGACCAAACTCGATGTTGCTAGGCTTCCAAGGCAACCATTTCCTTCTACAGAGAGAATGTTGATTTTGCTATTTCCATGAAAAAAAAATGTTAACTTATGTTAATGTTACTCAATATCGTGCCTTCTGTCTTAAGTGACCTGGTTAAGAACACAGCCAACAGAGGGTATTTTATCACAGCTGTGGTGGAGGAGGAGGGCCAGGCTTTGTGATGTGTGAAGCTCAACAATTTGACAACACACAACTAGGAAGAACCAGATTTGAAGCCGAGTTTCTCTGATTCCAAGACTTTTGCTTGGATAATTTTGTTCCTTTTTTCCAGGTGATGCACACTTACACACACACACACACACACACACACACACACACACACACTTTTCTTATGAGTGGAACTCATTCTCTCAATTTATAACATATTTCCACCTAAACATATGTGGTAACTATTTTCTTGCTTTAGAATGGGGGCCCAGGGGCTAGCACAGCGGTTTTGCCAGCTTGCTTGCTTGGCTGTGAGCCCTTGCCTCGCTACAGAACTCATCTACATTGACAGTGGAGATGACAGTCTCTACCCACAAGGCTGTTGGAATGTTGCGGAGTCTGATGTGTACCAAAGCCTTGCTGGATTGTAGGTGATCCGCTCACTGATACGCTTCCCGCTTAGACCAGGTCAGGTGTTCCTTGGCTGGTACCGTTAAGTTGTATCCCATCGATCTGCAGCTATTGGACGTGTACCAGGGGCCATCCCGTTCTCAGGAGCTGGAGGACCACAGCTGAATAACCCTGTTTCCTGTATCTGGGATCTCAGCAACACACTAATAGTTCCTTTCTACTATAAGAAAACTAATTTATAGATTTTTTTAAGTGAGCTAAAATATCTTTCTCTTGTTAACAATCAGGTTTTCTAAGTGTTTCGTATTCTTGAATTAAAAAAAAAAGTGTATCTTTAAAGAAAGTCCCAGTAAGGATTCCCTACACCACATTAGCCTTGCTGTCTAGTAATGCTTGGCTTCAGTAGCCCCTCTCTCCAAAACTCCAAACCTGAAGGAAGTGATGACGTAAGGTACAGGAAAAGACTTACAAATGTCCTTCCCCAAGCCTATCATTCAGATTGCTCAGTTAGCTGGTATGGTTTGAAGAGGTTATAGCTTTCAGAGTTATGTCTGAGTTGTAAAGAAACTGTGTCTTCACACTGTGTGAATGCTGTGTTCCTACATACAGCCTGTGGTTTTCCTCTCGGTGCTCAGTGATGTCCTGCTTCTGGACCCACAGTGGTAGGTCCTAAAGCCTGTCTTAGTAGAGCTTCTAGCTCATGTTTCAAGATAAGGCAGGAGAAAAATTTCACGCTTCTGACTTTAAATGTAACATTCCTCCACAAAAGGGATCAGATGCACAGAGGCAATTAAGGATGTGTGAGTTGTCGCTGGTGACCTTCATCTTCTAGTTGTGTGTTTGGTTGAGAAAAGTCATATTCTGGTGCCGGCAAAGTGATTCCATGGATAAAGCGCTTTTTTTGCAAGCCTCATGGCTTGAGTTCAAGCCCCAGAACTCATATAGATGTGGGAGGCGAGAATGACCCTAGAGTGGTTGACCCCTGACTACCATGGACATGCCGGCATGTACCTGTACTCACACACAGAAATCAGTAAGTACTTTAAAAAGTCATGGTTTAGCTGTTAGCTGGGCAGTGGTGGTGAGCACCATTAATCTCAGTACTTGAGAGGCAGAAGCAGGCAGATCTCTGTGTGTTCGAGGTCAGCCTGGTCAACAGAGTGAGTTTCCAGGACAGGCTCCAAAGATACAGAGAAACCCTGTCTTGAAAGAGAAAAAAGTCATATTTTGTGTGTGTGTGGAACTGATGGGAAGCAACTAATCAGTGTGATTTCATGTATTCAAGAAAATCTATTTCATAGAACGTGTGAAGGAAAGACACAGGCGTGTCCAGAGTGACTTTCTCTGCTGTGGTCCAGGTGATTTTGTTCCCGCATATGTACATTTCCTGGTTTTGAGTGATAAGAAGGAAAATCGAACCTGAAAATATCTTTTTCCATTATACTACTTAATGCTATAGCCAAGTGGGCAATACGTATTGAGTACTTCACTCAAAACCCCCTCGGTAACTCTCCGTGGTTGATTCTAGCAGGTCCGTTTTAGAGATAGAGAAACCAGTGTCAAGAAAGGGTGACTGAACTGCCCTCCAGCCTCCTTTCCATCCAGCACAGCTCGTTCATCCTTAGTTCTGCACTGTGCGATGAGCAACTGTGCTGCCTCGCAAAACAAGAAGCCATTTTCTCTTCCATGATTAAAGTACTTTGAAATTCCGAAAGCACTTTGGTTAATAAAGCATTAGCTCTTTTAACCTGATGGTTGATGGATGATACCCATAATGCTTAGCTTCTGTGGTGCCGGGGACCAGCATGCACCATGATGATAGACTACGTACTATGTCACGGTCGTTTTTAACTTGTCAGATATGCCTGGTAGGTGCATGCTTGAGGACACAGGGCGAGCAGCTCTGCGCCTGCAGAGCCCACTGGAGCATCCACACGAGAGTCTCTCTGTTTATTCTCCTGTTTCTGAAGGAATGGCACTCCTCTTTGCGCCATTCAGTGACAATCACTGTACTAGGAGTGAGTCAGAGCAGGTAAAATCCAACACTGCATTTATTAAGCATTGTTCCTGTATTAATAGTCATGGGCGTTCTAACTTCATTCAATCAAAGAAATCAAACTCCTACATTGTTAGCATGCTAGCCTGTGTCCTGAAAAACTACAGTGTGGATCTGTCAGCTGGCCGACTTCTAAAAGTGTGTGTGTGTGTGTGTGTGTGTGTGTGTGCAGGTGTGTGTGTGTGTGTGTGTGCAGGTGTGTGTGTGTATATATGTGTGTGTGTGCGCGCAGGTGTATATATATGTGTATGTGTGTGCAGGCATGTGTATATATGTGTGTGCACATGTGCACAGATAAATGTCTATGTGTGTGTGTGTTCAGGTGTGTGTGTATATGTGTGTGTGTGTGTGTGTGCAGGTGTTTGTATATGTATCTATGTGTGCAGATGTGTGAATATCTGTATGTTTGTGTGCAGATGTGTGAATATCTGTATGTTTGTGTGCAGGTGTGTGTATATATGTGTGTGTGTGTGTGCGCGCACGCAGGCACAGATGCATGTGTATATGTGTGTGTATGTGTGTCTGTCTGTGTGTGTGTCTTTGTGTGTATGTGTGTTTGTGTATGCATATTAGAGTAGAAGGTTGATGGAAATTGCACAGTGAACCTAGACTGACACTGATGTCCTAATTTATGTAAACGGATACCATTATGTATCCTATGGACACGGTTGGACAGCCACCTATACTTCACCGGGAGAAGCTGGGGAAAGGGACCCCAGCCCATTTCACCTTGAGAGAACTCCACCTCTTGTTGGTCACGACCTCCACTTTACAGCCCCTCCTAGCTTGTTTTTGGATTGCTTACCATGCTAGATTGACTTTAGACAGCATCACATACACAGCACATTATTTTTGTGATGATGAGAGAGGACATTGTGTATTTACATATGTGTTCAAAACATTCTCGGGGCAATGAAGCCCCCCCCCACATGCACCATATGACGTGATTTGCTTGGGTTTCAGTGGAAAGTCAGGGTCAGAACCAGCCATGGTGTCTCCAGACCTAATGAAAACATTTTTCTCTGGTTGCTAGTAATCAGCATAGCTACTGAGCATGGTAGAAAGGATGCAGAAGAAAGGAGGCTTGGAATTGTCGACTGTTTCCACACTACGTCCTGGGCCTGCTGCTTACTCTTTTTCTTTTCTACTCTACAGGGAGGTACCTCCTTCCAAACCCCGTGGCAGGACAGGCGTGGCCTGCCTCGGCTGAGACGTCCAACCTTGTGCGCATGCGCAGCCAGGCCCTGGGCCAGTCGGCTCCCTCCCTCACAGCCAGTTTGGTGAGTAATCTTTTGTGTTGCTGGAGTTGCCCTGGTCATTATCTCCTTGGGATCTGTCAGGTGTAACCGGATTTGCTCTTCCATCCACATAGCATTGGCCACAGTTTGGGCAATGAGCATGTTTGTGTCTCTGCATGCCAGTTTCTCCCTGCCCACCCCAAAATGTGGAATATTTTTAATTAGTTCTGTGTCGGTTCCCCTCACCCCCCACAAAAAGTAAAAATGTTTCTAGCCTTTAAAAACTCCAAACAAACAACAAAAGCATTTCTAAATATAGAAGACTGTGGAAAAGTCTGAGAGTAGGAAAACCACAGGTGGGGCCAGTCTGTCCCTTATCAGACCGCCTGCCCAGCATGCTTCATTGTTTTCCATGTATACATGTGTACGTGGTGTGTGAACATACTTATGCAGGCATGCATTGAGTCATCTGAGTGTAAGATGTGTGTCCATCACAGCCCTTGCTGGCAATTGTCAGCTTGCATAGTATTCTCACTCATACAATCCAGTGTCTGCTTAGCAGTCTGGTTCAGTTTTACCAGTGGGTTCGACCGTGTCCTTTGCCCTCTACAGAGGCAGTGTGGCACCAGGCCTGTGGAGGTCTGGTCTCCATCTCTTTGCTCTCCTTCGATCTGCTGTGCTCCCGCAGCCCTGCTTTGTCTTTCCTGACATCAGCATTGTTGAAGAAAGTTTATAGCCGTGTTTTCATACTGTGCTCGTCTGCTGATCTCCCATGGCGAGACTCCGATCCATGGCGAGACTCTGGTCCATGGCGAGACTCTGGTCCATGGTGAGACTCCGGTCCATGGCGAGACTCTGGCTTGTGCATTCCTGTTCCAAGTTGAGAACTGGTGATGTGTCCTCAGGACATGTTCTTGACAGGTGCACGATGCCTCTCTGCCCCTCACTGTGCTGTTAATTTGGATAACCCCGTCAAGGTGCTGGCTGGTTATTCTGCAGCAGTTACCACTGACTTTCTCTCACATGTAGGAGCTGTCTGGGGAGATAGGCTAGGCTACACAAACAGCTTCTTGCCAGAAACTTCCCCTGAATTCAGCATCTGTTGACGATTCCTGGAAGTATCATTCTTTTTTATGTCAATTAAAAATATCGAGGGCTAGGAATGGAGCCCTGTGGTAGAGTACTTGCCTAGCATGTGGGAAGTCCTGGATTTCATCCCCTGCACAGAAAAAAAAAAGACTCCATGTTTACTAGGAAAAACATATTTATGAATCTGTTGCAAGCATAGACTTGAATTTTTTTTTTTTTTACTTTTCCAGCGTAACTTTTATTTTTAGCCAATATGCTTAGAGATTTTTGTTTTCTTGCAGGACAACTTTTTAAAAATGTGTGTGTGTGTGCAACATGTGCCCATACACATGTATGTGGTTTCACAAAAGTGGGTGTATATGTTTATACACACGTGTGTAGGCCAAAAATCGACATCACTGTCTTTCTTGGTCACTCTCCACTTTATTTATTAGTCAGAGTCTCCTGGTGAACCTGAAACTCCACTGATTCCAGCTCTCATAGCTAACCAGCTTGCCCAGGGGCCCCTGTCTCTGCCTCCCAAGTGTTGGGATTACAGTCAGCTGCCATGCTGGGTTCTGGGGCTTTGAACTCCTGTTCTGATGTTTGAGTGGCAACCACTATATCTGCTGAGTCTTTCCCCCCACTCCTTAGCAGATACTTACATATCTATTCTAACTCATGTAAAATCTTTCCCACTTGGTCTGGGGTTATAACTCAATGGTAGAGCGCCTCCTTCACATGTGTGGGACCCTGGATTTATTCCTGTGCACCCAAACAAACAAAAACAAAACCATGAAACCATACAACAAAACAAAAAGTCTATACAAGTTATTTTTGGGTCAGTGGTAAAGTTGTGTGGTATGATAATAGGTTTTAAAATATTTCTTATTGACAAAAATATAAATAATACATATAAATCAGTATGTTGTGTAGTTTATAATTTTATTCACTGATGGGAACTTATATTGGCTATTTGGACATGATATAGCACATGGAGATGTAATTCCGGTCTAGACTGAAGTCTTGCTTTGGCATTTAAGAGATATATAAACTTGGACAAGTCTTAATTCCTCAATCCCGTCAACCTGATCTGTAACTGCAGAATGCAGACACATTCAACATCTGTGAAGCCCATTTGACTCTGAAATTTTTGGCTCTTTCAGAAAAATTAGCATTCTGAATGTATGGAATAATGATCTCCAGAGAAGATACGGAAGCAGTGGTGGGGAATCTCATCCTCCTTCTCTACCATTCCCTCTTGCCCCCTTCCAACTGGATTGTTTTTGAGGGGGAATTTGTTAAAATATTTCTCTGTAGGGATTTACTTTTCTCAGACAAAAATACTTCACATTTTATGTTTTTTGACAGTGTACTTGAAACAGTGCAATCCTCACATTCAAATAGTAATATTATATATATATACATATAATATTACTATTTGAATATATATATATGCTTGCTGTGGAAGGTCAATCATTCTGGTGAAAGCATCTCTGCCCCAGATACTCAGATTACCTAATGTTGTGATCACATGCCCAGACACCAACTGATGTTTCTGCTGCTCACATGCATACCAAACAACCTAAAGTATCTGGGACTAGGACCCAAAGATAAGAGATGTTCATAGATCACAGCAGAGGAATATCCTCTAAAAAGTGCCAGAGAACATTCTTAGCAAGGAATCATTTACGTTGCTAGCTGGTCTGCCCACAAGCTTCATAAAGCTTCAAGTTGTGGTGTCTGAACTGTGGCTAAATTTGAACACAGAATATGTTTAAGCTGTCTGCTTTGGGGTTGTCAAGGTGTCCTGCTAGGCAAAGCCCCATCTTGACTTCCTGGGTCTGTTGTGGTATGCCCAGATCCTTGCCTCAGTATGTCTCTGTGGTGCACACAAATTTCTGTTTGGTTGCCAGGGTCATTTGTGTGACTGCATAGCTTACCGCCTTAAAGCTTAGCCTGTTCCATTTGTCTGTCATGTTTGGTGTGGGGTGGGTTTAAGTTATTTTCGTTGATTAAGAATAACAGCTTGACTGGAGAATGGTGCTGAGGAAGTGGGAATGGACAACTGTCAGATGCCTCGTTTTCTTTCCCTGTAGTTTTCCTTCTTTCTCTTTGTTTAATCATTTTCCAAATGAGCAGTATTTGTGGGGTTGCTCTGTGTCATGGAACATGCCTCCCCACGGACTGCTCCTGCCTTCCTGGCCTCTGGCCTTGTCTCTGTGATCCCCTTAGCGCGCTGAGCTAACTTTCCCAACCCCTTTAGAGTCAGTCGTGGCATACCTTTGAATGCTTAAACCTCTCTCTCCTTGTGCGACTGAAGCTTCTTGAGGACAGGCTTACTAGATGACTCCATTTTCTGTCCCCTCCTGCCCTTAGCACAGTGCTTCCATGTAGGAGGCATTCAACAAATAGTAATGAAGTAAAAGATACTTATTCATGAAAAAATGTCAGGTTTCTCTAGCCTCAAGGTAAAATGATGGTATGAGTACGTGCTCTGATTGGTGGCTTAAGTAATATCATCCATCTAAAACTTCTGGCTTTGTTCTATGTGTATCTTACAATCATGACTAGCTTTAAAAGTCCATGTAACAGGCCAAATCCCAATTAGTGCATGTCAGCCACTCAAAATATATGATGACAAAATTGTAACATGATTATCGTTGTCCACAATCAAGGGATATTCATTAATCTGCTTTCGTGTAGTTATGTAGTCATGGTGGTTTAAATTTTTTATTGATTTTTTTTTCCCTAATAACTAAGTTGAAGAGATACTTGTCAAGGTGTAGGAGAATCAGATAAAGACATTCAGAGTGGTTGTGCCCAAGTGACGGCACCACATTTGACGTGACAAAATTCTGTCGCATCAAAAGAACTCGCATCTCAGTATGGACCTTTTCCCTGAGAGCTGAGACCACGCTAGCGAGATATTAATGAAGGCCGTGTGATTTGGTGGATATGAATTTTAGCAAATGCATGACCTGTAGTGTTTTAAAAGCCATTGGCACATTTGAAGGTTCTGCTAACTACCTTCTCAAGGAGGAGATTAATTTCTAGCCCGAAGTGTCTAGTTTTCCTTGGCAATGCTAGATGTAGCTGTGTTCCCAGACACTTTGGGCATTTCAGATAAATGGCAGGTTGCCAATTCATCCTAAGTAGCCTGGTAGCTGGCAGAATACATGCTCAGCCAGTGTCCGCCCGCTGGGACCCCAGCCGGGAGAGCTGATGAGGTGTCAGATGTATACTTCATATACATTAATCTGCAGGGGGAAAACTCATTTTCCCATTTGCTGTCTCCATCTTTCTGTCCCTCCCCACACACATGGGTAGTTTATCAAAGAAGTCATTGTCGTCAGGAGCTGGGGGATTTGTGCAGATGCTGCTTTCTGGCAGGAGAGATGGAAATTCCAGGAGTCAGAAGCAGGACCATCCTGCTTAAGACCTGGTTGGGAAATATGGTTGTAAGCCTCAGTGGCTGACGTTTCGAAATGGTGGATGTGGCCAATCATAAGAAACATTTACTGGTTGTGTACTTGCTGTAATGGATGGAGGAGGGACTTGGAAAATCAGGTGCCTACATATCTCTCCAGTTGTATTTGACCTGAATTGCCTGCCTCATCTAAAGATTCCACTCACGTTCTTTATCCCAGAGGCCTCCCTGGACCACCTGTCTGAAGGTGCTCCCTATGTTGCAAGATATACACCCCACAGCCTTAATCTTACCTCTAACTCCACCACCTTCAAATATGCTGTATCATTTATTATTTTGTTTGTAGCCATGTGTCCATGGGGGAAGGAATCTGGGAATGCTCCTGTTGCCTCTTGAAAATGGCCTATTATTTGTATAGCTTCTATGACTACCCCCCGTGTACCTTAACTCATCCCACTTGTAATAGTTAATGCATTGCAAGTGTTCTGTACATGCACTGGATGGCATCAGGAGTGCTGGCAAGAAAACAGTGTATTCACGTGCAGTACGGACATGGTTTTGCCTGTAGCCGGTTGAGTGCATGCAGGACCCAGGCATGAAGAAGACTCACTCTGTGTCCTGTTACTCGGACGCCACTTTCACAAAGGCAAAGGCAAAGGTGTTACTGAGAATAGTGCAGGACTCATCACGGGAACTCAGAAGATGTGCTGAATGCACCAAAGAAACCCCTTTCTGTGCATTTTGGTGCCCCAGAACTGACTCTCATATACGTGCTGTTTTTAGTCTGCCGTGTTTCGGTTTGTGTTGCGTCAGCGTGCTGAGGCATTGCTCTTCAAGGCAGAGGGAAGCTCCTAGTGAACATGCGCGTGGAAGCTAAGCCTTAATTGTTCATTTAGAAGTGAGAGGAGAAGGAGGGCAGGGCAGTTGGGCACATACTGTTCTAGGCCCAGTCCAGAGACTCCCTTTCATTAGCCCCACATAGATTTCTGTGGGCCTCAGGGTTTCCATCTGTGGAATGGGGCTCAGGGCTGTCCTAACTTTATCCAGTTTCCATAGGGAGTAACGGAGTAGACTCTCGGGCAGAGCTTGGTACTGTGCCTGCCGCTCGAAAGGCCTTCCTTCCTCTGTGGTTCTGTAGCTGCTGGGGAGAGCGTGTCTTGGAGGTGAGGCTGGGAACTAGGCTTAGCTGGGATGGCACTATTAGAAAGAACAAAAGAAAGTCATTCTCCAGATAATTAGGTATGGCCTTTCTGTCTGTGCTATTGGATTATCTTATTGTTTCTTTGTTTTCCACCTGTGCTCAAAACCGAATTAACAACCGGAGAGCGCTTTCCAGGCCGCAGGCATCTTTAAACAAGGAAGGCGTTGTCAAGTGCTGCTCCTGAGCTTCCAGCTTTGGTTACGTGGTGAAATTCTGTTTCTTTGGTGATTCTCTTTTTGTATCATACCCATTTCCCTTAATGGAAAAATTATATTTCGTGATGTACTATAAATATTAAAACCAAACTATTTAAACTGTAATATATTCTAAGAGCCTTAATGAATATTCATCTTTTACATTTGCAAAAATGTATTGTGAGGAGTCTGGGAAGATTCACTAAACGTATGCAGAAATGCATTTCCCCTTTTAGGCTCATCCACAATGTGGAGACAGGATGCCAGCATCTATTTAGGGTGCAGTCTTTATTTACAGTCATTTAATATTGTATCAATACTTCATTAGCCTCATAGCTCAAAAACAAAAACCTGATCTGAAGTCTAATTAGTTAACTCCAAGAGTGCGCCTATTAAATATTGATGTAGGAGCGGTTTGAATGCCCTTGGATAAATTGCTTAACAAGTGTTGTGGAATACATCTCTGAATTAGCATTTCTCCTCAGCCATTATGACTCAATTTAAAGGCTGCATAATATTCCAGTGCTTGGGCTTATCACAGCAAATCTTCTTTAGATTATTTCTGAGCTTTTCCTACTGTTAATAATGGTGATGCGTCCACTCCATTGTTCACCCCAGAGCATCTCCTGGGGTTGATCCTTACAGCGAGATTATTAGGGCAGAACAGATAAGATTGTGAGGGTTTGTCTAACTTTGTGGCATTGTTTATATATTAAGACAGTGTATTGCATATACTCCTACCAGCAGTTAGTATGCGCTTAAAAAAGTTAAATCAGAACTTCTCTGCCTTGTTTAGGAAAGAATAATTATTCTTTTAAATATATGCATTTGCAAAGTCAATATAACTCTTAGGCGCACTGAATTCTTACACAAAGTCAGCAGATGTAGCAAGTGTGAAATAAGCATTGTTAGTCCTTCCTTCCTTCCCATTTCCCTTGCATTCCCTAAATCAGCTTACCAGACCCTCTGTCGGGAACCTGGATCGCTCCTGGGATCCAGGAATCGCTGAGTGTGATTACAGTATGTGTAGCTAAAGGCATTATATTCCACAGTTCAGAATTTTTTTTTTCATCTGGAAAGAAGTAATCTCAATTGTGAAACAGTGCCTTCAGCTGTGGACATTATAATCAGGGTCTCAGGAGTGCCTGTATTCCAAGAGTCATACATCTCACAGTCGTTACCCTCTGAGCCTGGTTCTGTTTATAGTGAAGGGAGGGATTTCCATAACTCAGTGCTGAAATAGCAATAGGGGGCCCTGAGCAGATTATTACAGGTCAGGCCTAATCCACAAAGATAAATCTCATTATGGGCTCACCTGGGCCCATCCACAGAGGAGCCCTTTAACATGAG